TTCATGCCCGTGGGTAAATTTAAACCCTCAACTTATAATTAAAAGGGGAGTAGTCCTTACTACTCGATCACAGTCTCTTTGGTTACAATTAGTTAAGTATTGTTGCATGGGTAAACCAGGTAAAAAGGGTCCTCAACTTGAACAAGATAGTTAGATCATGTCATGTCTCTTGGACTTAATTGTAAGAATTAAAAATTATGGGGTTAAATTATAATTTTCATATCTTGTGGACTATAAATAGTCAGCAAGGGGTGTAATTAAATTATGAAAAATATTAATGTCAAATTGGATATTTTCAATTTGTCTCCTTCTTCACCGTTTTCCCAATTCCTGAACCCTAATCTGCCGACCTCCGGCCATTCCTTCTTCTTTCTGTTTTTCGGCCATCTCCAAGGCCCCGGGTCGTGACAGATCAACAAACCTTAAAAGCCCGCGACATTGTACAGGCTAGTTTCCATGGGCTCAATTTTTGGTCGGCCTGGGATACAAGGCAAAAATCCGCTGGACCTCCAGTGAAGTGTGAAACCGGATATCAAAAATAGAACAAATATTGATAACTATTTTTTAAAACTACGTACTTTGTTCGTACCGAGAAAAAAAAAACTACGTACTTTTATTTTTGTTTTATAAATAAAAAATGAAATAATCTGTTTATATCACATGATTAATTTATTCATTCATATTTAACATTAATTTGACAAGGATGATATTCAGTCTTTGTACAAGATTATGGTAATCTTCCAATGTTTGTCTTATAATATATCAACAACAACATGAGTACTGTTCAACAAATGTAATTGATGAAATTAATTAGTACGTAATATTCATTACATGTGTTCCCCTAATCTTGTCACTTACAATAATAATCTGTGGAGGGATACACCACATGGAAGCCGATTTTGAATTAATCAAACAATTTGAGGACATGGGTCCACTTGTTTTTCTTTCTTTCTTTTTTTCCGTCACCCATCATAAGTACATATTGAAGAAAGTCTTCATATTGTTATCAGAATGTATTCAAACTCTTTGGAAAACAAGATGGATATATTAGCACTGTCATTCTACGTCTTTTTTTTGTCTTTTTTTTTTCCGTTATCAACTCACATTGTGTTGAAGTTGAACTGATGAAGCGGGGATCGATCTCGGGGCGGACATATAATGACTCCAATACAATTGTGAGGCATTATGAGATTAACCCTGCAAAAGGACAAACCGTACATTGTTTGTTGGAGATCACTCCTACGCCGGTAATTATCCATATCATGACAACATGCGCAGCCAGGAAATCCAGACAGCGGTGCAAAATTTAGAAAAGAAAAAACCTACTAATAAACTAGGAAATTAATGTAGTAAAAATTATAAAATATATAATTTTGTAGTAAAAATTTAAGACATCATTACTAATTACAAATAAATTCAGCAGGTGCGACCACACCCCTCCATCCCCCCACTGCATGGGGGAAGGTTCATTGTAACATGTACTGCATTTCAGCGTTGGATTTGGACAGCAGAGAATCATGAAAGAAACCGTTTTTGTTCCTGAAATTGTATGTACACTTCTTCTCTCTCTTTTAAGGTCTTTTATTACGGACATTGTGCATTTTCTTGTTTCTTTGGTTCCTCTTAATTAAATGGTTAGCATTTAGCAATGTAGTCTTTTAATTTTTCCCCACATCTTAGAATATAATACTAGTAAACAAAGTAATGACTTATATTTCCAGAGGAGATAAATGAATTATATTCTTTTGCTGCATTATCTCTCATGAACCCCATTTCAAGTTTCAGACAACTTTTCCAGCTAATTATGTTTTCTGATGTCATTTCCATCGCAAAACCTTACTAAATTACAACATGAAAATTTGGATTTTGTGCCGCGTAGTTTCCGTTTTCCAAATTTACAGTACTTAACGTAATCCAAGCATGTAAAGGAGAAAAAAAACAGAAAGGTCATGATGGAAATTTGTTGTTGCTGGGTGAACCCAATCCTTTTAATTTCCCTATAGCCACCGATTTCACGTGCCATATAGAGAGCATTAGATTAGTAACATCTCCGTTATGGATTACTCAATCAAAAGGTGTTTTTGCACATCATATTGTCGTGTGTCTTCTTTCACAGCTGTTGGTTATTACTAATCACTAATTAACAGCGTTCAACTTCTTTACTTGATTAAACATCTTGTAGTTGAAGAACATTTTCTGGAGTTTTGGACCCTATAATTTTATAAATTAATCATGAATCTGAATCCTATGTCGGTCGCATTGTTAGAAAACATAGTACTCTTCAATTTCGTACTACATTGTGTATGGAATTTGGTCTCGTGTTAACTGTGAGTCTGCTCAAGTATATAGAACCATTGCAGATGGAGGAAATGAAGGAGGGGTTTTGTGAGTAGGTGTTCTGCTACATATAATTATATGCGAAAATTATCATGATCTATAACTGAGGAATAATTCCTACGTACTTTCTACTCATTGTATCGTTTTGTTTGCAGGTTGGCCAAACCACAAGTAAAAACCCATTCTACTTATAGAGAGCTAGGGGAGCATAATTTGGACACGGGATTCTGGATATCAACTACAGAAGTCATGTCGACTTCAGCTGGTATCGAAATAATAACGGAGTTTCTGTAGAAGGTGATTATGTTTGGCCGATTAATCGACACTGGAAATCCATGTTCCAAGATTTTCTAAGTCTTGAATGTCAGTCTGAAGTTAAAATAAGAGCTCTATCAAAATAAGCTTATAGACTATCAATTCATCCCTTTGAATAAAACAAAAACTAGAAAGAAATAAATAATAAAACAAAAAAATAACAAGTCTGTTTGGAGCCTTGATTTTAGTATTTTAATTTAGACGCTCATTTGTCTGCATAAATGAGAAATTTGCTTTCTCCTTGAACGGTTTGTAGGTTCTTGAAATTACCGGATGTGCAAATACTTTGTTAAAGATTTTACATTACAATTCTCATAAATTTCAGTGACGTAATGTCTACTCTTATTTTTAATCATTTCAAACTTTCTTTTTCATTAAACAACAAATACAAGTATGCAAATTTGTTGAAAAACTAACATGCATGTACATTGTGGTCGCACCCAATAAATAAATAAATCCTCTAGTCTAAGAGTAAATCAATAATTTCTTTCCCTACAATAGGAGTTGTCTTTCTAAGTTGATAGTTTTTATGTTTTTTGAAAAGAAGGTATTCCACCGATATATACTCATCTTTGATCCATTTTATCTTCTTTATTAGAAAGATATAAGTGAAAATAGTACAGAAGCTGACAAAGATTTTATTACATTGTAATTGTTTTGCTTAATTTCTTTCTTCTTCTTTTTTACAATCTTGAAGCTTCCTACTCCTGATGACATCTCTCCGTAACAAAACTGGTAGCATGGTGGGCCTTCGTTAGTTTTGACTTTTGCCGCTTGCACTTCAATTTAATTTACAAGAACACGATAATTTTTTTATTAAAAAAAATGATAATTTTAAGGTGTAAGAGAATTAATTTATTAGAATACACATAAAATCATATGTTTTTAACTTCGAATAATAAGGATTAATTAAGAGCCTACGAAAATGTAATGCGTTTTCACTTTTTTGGTTAGAAAAACTAATTAGGGTTTGGGCTTCTTAATTTCGTGCGAAAGAAGCTTAGTTTAGGGTTAACCGTCATAAGCTTATAACACTATTTAAACTCCCAACTTGCTTGAAGTGATTGCTTAAACTTAATCCCTCATCCCATTAAGTGGTCAAAATGATGACGAACCCATAGAAATAGTGAATCATAGTACAGTGCTTCGGTAACTCACTAAATTTCTTCATCCATATCCCCGAGGAAAAAAAAATAAAATAAAAAAGATAGATGCATGGTCTAAGTTTAATCATGAATGCTCATCAAATGCTGTCTACACGTGGAAATCGATGCCTGAAATAAACCTCTGTCAGCCGGAAAAACTGAAACCTCAAATTCAAGCAAGAATGGTAGCCGGAATTTAACTAACAAAACATCACAAACGACGTAAGAAATAGAAGATCAATTGAGGAATACTGTTTTATTGGGGACATAAGACCCATCCCTTGTAGTGTTGATCAACATTCAACAAAATTCAGAAATCGAATCACACAGAGTAATGACCAGAATTCAGAGTAGAACTAATCTTGGGAAATCTGCCAAACTGCACCAAGAACTTCAGAAAAAAAAAAAAAAAATTGTTCGAACAGATCTCACCCACAGAAATAAATGGTACCACATAAAATATGTTTACATTCATACAACAGAAAGGAATTTTTTTTTTTTCTTTTTACATCAAAGACGACACACCTGAATCTATAGACACACCTGAATCTATAGACATTACATGACTTCTGTCTGCAAATCCTACACAAATATGATTCCATAATTCAGAAAGACAAACACTACAGAACTATAATTAACTAATAACAATACTTTCTATTGAAACAGAAGTACTGATATGACATCTGAGAGCCGCCATTTCAATGGCAGAGAGAGCTCCCATCTTTATTTTTGCAGAAAAAAAAAAACCTTACTTTACGGATATGGTTTAATTTGCTGCCAGCCTTCTTGATCCCCTTCTTCTTGTTGTTGTTTTTTCTTTCAACTCATCTCACCAACTGGTATTCACAATTCCAAAACTCCAAATCCCTTCCGTTTTTTCCTCCTTCTCTCACTCTCTTTTTTTTCTGTTTTGTTTGTTTTTGTTTTCTTCATCGGATTTAAACCAAGTCACAAACCGCTGTTCTAAAATCCAAATTCCAAACCCTTTCTTTTTTGCCCCTTTTCCTTCTCCTCCCCCTTCCCTCCCTGCCCCTCTTTTTTTTGTTTCTTTTTTTATTTACAGTAGCTGAATTCCGCCACACGAGAAACCACCTCCCCAAATGCTAGACATTTTAATTCATTCCAACCTCAATCCCCATCCCCATTTTACGGTATTTACAGAATTCTGTACATTAAAACTGGAAAAAATTGACTAGTTTTTAATTACCAAGGATAATTCTCCTCGTCATCAAAAACACCCGGGTCATTCATCCTCTGGAAGGAGGTTCCAGCCCGTGCCTGTTCCCACAGGGAGGAATCATCCACGGCCGGCAGCTCGGCGTTAAGGTCAGCCCAGTCAAAGGAAAGAGTACCCCTGTTCATCTGTCCGGCTGCAGGCTCCTCGGAGACCGGCTCAGTCTTGATCACCTCCTCCGGCGGCGCCACCACCACGCTGTCAATGTCCATCATCATCTCCTCCTCCGCAGCCGGTGGTGCCACGTTTATGTCCAGGTAGGGGAAGACGTCCGGCTGCTGATGTTGCTGCTGGGGAGCCGACGCCGGCGGAGGAGCAAGGTAGAGATCAACGATAGGGAAGTTGATCTGCTGAGGTGGCGGAGGGAAAGAGGGTGCTGAGGTGGCACCACCAGGGAACAAACCATGCAGCAAGGGCGCGTGACCAGTGTTGGGGTTTTCATTCTGATGAAAATGAAAAGGCTTGGTGTTGTGGTCCCCGCCGAAGGGATCAGTTGGAGATGACGACGACGACGATGAACCGGTTGGGGAGGCGGTGGAGGTGGAGGTGGATGCGCCGCCGTAAAAGAGGTCCCTGTACCGGTGGTGGCGGTGGTGATGGATTGGCATCCGGGTCACATGAGGCAGATTTAGCCTGGCCTCATCACCATACAACCTCCGCGCGGCGGCGTCGTACGCGATCGCCGCCTCGTGAGAGGTGTCAAAGGTACCTAGCCAGAGTCGGGAACCGCAGTTAGGTTCCCGAATCTCGGCGACCCACTTGCCCCAGGTCCTTTGTCGGACTCCCTTATACGTGCAGGAGGCATTTTCGGGTCCTCCTTTCCCCCGCATACAACCCTTCCTTGATCCGTTTGCCTGTCCCTGTTTTCTGCCCCGATGGTTGTTGTTGTTGTGTCCATTGTTACACCCTCCATTATTGTTCCTGCCTCCATTTCCACCTCCGTTGCCGGAGCCTCCGCCAGACGAGGAGTAACTCAGCATGGTGTTTTTTATGCTACTAAGCTAATGAGAAGTGAAGACAAACTGAAAAAGGGAAAAATGCTGGGCTAAAGAAAAAAGAAAAAGGGAAAATTAATGCTTGAAAATGGTTTTGAAACTGATGAGATGAAATGAAGAGTAGAGGGTGAGGAAGTGGTCGCATTTATAGTGATGAGGAGTGGATTCACTGACAAATGCATAAATGAATGCGAGGAATAAAAAAGAAGGAAAAAGAAAAGAGGGAGTTTTGCATGGGAAAGTGAAAAAAAGTAGCTACGTGTTTTCTGCCGGTGCATTTTATGCTACTTTTCGCTTTTTCCTCCTCCTTTTCAACACCAACACAAATCCTCTGCCTATTGCTTCCTATTCCTGATTTGCATTTGAACTGTACAATTCAAGTTCTCTCTTCTTTTTTCATTCATTTTGGTTTCTGTTTTGCCATTTACTTTCAATTAAAAGGTCTCTAATAATATCCTTCATTCTCTCCTAACCGGAATTTTTTTTTTTCTACTTGCAGATAAGCTTCACGCAAGCTACTAGAGTGTTCGATTTTTTATTCAAAAATGTTCGATCTACGTGATAAAAAAATATTAAGCCATCTTAATGTATAAAATGTCTTAGATTTGGACTCGGTCATATACATAAAAAAAAAATGATCAAAATTCTTATTGTAACAATTTGGTTTCCAAAATGAACCTATCCGACTTGAATATATCTGGAATTGGTTGAGATAATAATTCCTAACATCAAGTGTATAATATACAAGAAAAAAAAAGAGGTTCGGTCTAATCTCTTTAAGAGGAAACCCTTTTTTTTAAGAAAAATAATATGGTACATTATCAAATTAGATTTTCATAAATTGTAATTAACTTGATAGATGATACTTTTCTTTCACCATCTAACCGCAAAAACTGAAATCAAAGGAGAAATTGAGATAGTAAACAATGTTGTAATGATAAAAATATTATTGAATTATATTCTTTACATTTCCAAAAAAAAAAAGTCTTGTAGTTGATACATTTTATTCCAACGCACCAAAGTTACTCTTAGTTTATGATGGGGATCAAATACTCCAAAAGTAAAAATATCTCTGCATTTTTAATAAAAAAAGAAAAAATCTAGAAAGACGATGACCTCAACCTCACTCCCATCTCAATAACTTAATTCACGTTTCCTCTTATTATTACTCCTTTTTACACAAACTAATTGTTTTAGTTATTATCCTATCTTTTATATTATACACAAGATAATTATTTTGAAACTGAAAATAATGGGCAATAATAATTATATTTAAATTGAAGAAGCTCGAGGATAGAAATGCAAAACATGCTTGTAAGGCTGAGGTAGTGAGTGGGGGAGTGTGTGTGAACGCGTGTAAGCGCAGGGTGTGTTTTGCATTAACATTTGACAAACAAAATGAGGTCAGATGGTGGGGGCAGAAACAAGTTGGATAAGCTTCCCCCCAGAGGTCATCCTACCAGTATTTGCAACTCAAACTGAGTCACTCAATATTGCTCAAACTAACTTAAGATAAATATTTTTTTTTCTTTCAAAGCTGTAAACTGGATTGAGATAATAACATTCATACATAACTGCTAGGGGGCAACGGCAGCTGTCGCCTTGAGTTAGAGATAGATGTCTTCCAGTGGCATTGGGTCAGTTAATTTTTGCATGCATTATCATTTAAGGGGTTTTTTACTTTCTAGTCTAGTTGAAAGGGTGAGTCTTTTGGTTTCTAATAAATGTAAAACTAAATAGTTACCCCGTGAAAATTTAATTCCTTGAGAAAACAACTACAAAAATAAAATGACATGTATGAGATAGTTCATCCATCCCCAAAATTATTAATTATAGTATTTTTCTGTTTGATTTCTATCTAACAAAAATATACGTTTTTTTGAAATTAATCAGCCATAAAATGTAATGAGATCATACATAAGCTTGCATACTTCGATTGGACTGGTATGTGACCTACAATGTACTTACTCATTACAAAACACACGCTGAATAAAAAAGCTATACTAAGGTTAATGTCCACTTGCACTTTTTTAAAATTGGGAGGCGATGTTCATTATGTTTATCCTTCAATGTATTTTGATAAATTTCTCTAATGAAACAATTTGACAATTCAAATAAGGCAAACAAAGCACTAAAGTAACATTAAACTATGTATCAGAACTTTCTTTTTTAATCTACGGTATACTACTTGATTAATTAACTCATTTCATGTATCATCTCAATCCACTTTCTTTATATTTATTACTCCCTCCGGTCATTAATATAAGACATTTTGATTTGTTATATATTTCACTGTATATCGAAAACAAATTTTTTGGTAATTAGGTTCGATAAAAATTAATTAAACAATGAAAGAGCTGGACAGCATTTTCATGACACAACGATTTGTGTAGAAATCGCAGCCAAGTATTCTCATCCATCTCTCCACTTGCTGAGAAATTAGGAGATTACCAGCAATGTAAATAATTTTTATCGGCATCCAGGAGATTTTGGTTTTTTGTCCATTGTTAGAACACAGTGTCAGAAAATAAAATGACGTTATCTTGCCAACTTTTTGAGTTGTACGGATGTTCAGGAAGATTCAATGTCTCTAAAAAGAAAAATTATATATTAAAAAAAAGAGAACAGAAGAAAAACTGAAGGGGGAACAAAGCAATCCAGAGTGCTTTGCTTGTTCTTTTGCTCCTAGAAATCAAGAGATTGCGTGAGCCTGACTTCAACAACTCCCCGACATCCAGTATTAATGCTCCAATTGAAATCCAGTTACCCAACAAATATTGTGGGCGCCGGAGTTAAACATCAATTCTTGAGTTTTAGTTTTTTTTCTTTTTTTAACAGTTTACTGTTGATATTAAACCCATTGATTCATAGAAAGTTAATCCTTAATTTCACACCGTATGCATAATGCCTCAAAAATCCAGTACTCAACTATGTTTATGTACTCAAGGCACACCCAAAGATGAGTCGAATTATAGAACTAGTACACAAGTACTAACTACTAGTAACAAATAATAGACAGTCCAAATAATAATATAATTGGCCTTCTTATTAATCATGCAGTTGATCATCAAGTGCCAACTGAATAACTAGGATAATGATAATTGTAGGGTGGATACTTTCAGAAATATAAATACAACGGAATAGACACCTATTTTTGAAATCGAGGAATAATAAATATCATTTACGAAATGTATGAAATGATTTCGGCCACTTATTACTAAGTAATTAATACACAATCCTTTTCATTACGTCTATAAATGTAACCATGTACTACAACTATTTTTGAAAAACGTAATTCAAGATGGAGAGCTCGTTGGACCAATTTCATCACGGTTGGGGTCCTGGATCGATGGTGTTGATGCTGGTGGTGGTGATGCTCGTTTTGTTGCTGCCGCTGGAAATGGGACAAGCAGGGTCGCTACTTCCACCACCGGCATATGTCCTTGTGTCACGGCCGTTTTCCCGTTCTCGGGATAGGCCATCCTTTCCCACGTTTGTGGGGTTTGCCGCCAAACGAGGCGTCTCCGTAACCGAGATGAGGAACGGAATTTTCTAGAAGCATGCGGAAATCCCGGGTCAATTCTACACGGTTCTGGAATTCTCTAGAACCAACCGGACATTGCTGGAAACGTGGGGAAGCTTCCCGAGTTTTCTAGGGACGACTGGAAACGGGCTGGAGGTTTCTAGGAATAGAATTCCACACTTAGAATATTTTATGGTAGGAATTTTCTAGAAATCCATTATTTTATTATGTACATAGAATTCTCTAGAATTCTTTGGGACTTGGGGTTTGCCTATAAATACCCCATGCCTCCTCCATTTGTAAACCATCCTTTATTTGAGTGAAGCATTCTCAAGCATACTTCAAGCTCTCCGTTCTTTGTGCCTACATCGTTCTTAGCTTTCTTGGCCTACGTTCTTTGAGTCTTTGCCTAACTTTGCACGAATTGAGGGTCTTAAGGCTGAGCTAGTACGTTCTCGTTGGTTGTTTAAGTACTAGTGCCACACGGCCGTTACTTTGAAGAAGTAAGCCCGTGACACTTATAATCACTCTGGTTGTGTTGGTTGCCGTCTTTCTTTATCTCCATTACGCTAGTAACAACGATTACGAAAAATATAAGTGGCAATGACCATATGTAGGATGAAGGTCATCAATATTGTCATGCATCATGGAACAACATTCGATGAGCCATTTTATATCTTTTGCTTCAAAACGAAAGCATTAGATTAAGAATTTTGAGCTTTAACTCTATGTTTGAATGCATTACGCTTTTATCTAAAACTACGTACAAAATACTTGTGAAAAAAAAGTACATTATACTCTCTCTGCTCCAAAATTATTGTCCAGTTTGAGATTTTATTTTTAGTTTAATTTGAACTAAAAATGAAAATTCAAAATGAACAATAATTATGTGATGGAGGGAGCAATTATGAAAACATTACTCATGACTTCAATGGCGGAATTAGACATTGAATATTGAGGGAATGGACCCTAATAAAGAAACTCAATGTGTTCTGTGATGTTTACCCGAGATAAATAGTCTATGTATGACGAGTCCAAAATAAACCCTAGGTTTATTGGGCCTAGAATTAAGTTACTTGGAGATCAAGTCACCGCCTAAACCTATTCTGCTAGGGTTTCAGGTGGTGCCTCTCCCATAATACATATTTTTTACCTATCTTCTACATATTTTACACACGATATCTTTTACACATCTCTTTATTCTCTTTATTTTATTATTAACTTAAGTATCGGAAAGTCTACCCTCAGGAGATACCTGAGACTCTGTCTTGTAGGTTTTAGGCCATCCGCCGCCTCTCCTAGATTATTATTGCTGCCCGTCCTAAAGTACCGTGCAGATCCATACTTCGTCAATGTACATACACAATACATTTGCTTGAACATTTCATTCAAAATACAATCCATTTTCAATTTCCGCATCCCAAGATAGAAATTATAATTATGTCCAAGCAAATTCAAACTC